GCCCCTGCATGGCCCCATGGGAGTCTGACAACCAATCAGAATACAAGGTCAAGGTCAAAAGTGAGAGAAGGCATAAAACCAGGAACTTTCAGCATCTCAGCCTTTTCTTCACCCAACATCTTGAAGCATGTGATCACCTTTTCTGTTCAGGACTCAAGTGTGGTCCTGTCCACCATTAAACCATCTTTCCAAGCACCCTCCATGTTTCCAGTGTCTTTTTCCCCACTTGGAACTGAATCCAGAAGGACATTTCTTCCAACAGTGTATAAGGCTTTCCTAAATATACCTCCAATGGGATAATCCTAAAGTATACGGTTTTTGAAGTTCTATTATGTATATTGTTTTTGTGGCTATATTTCACATATGAGTTTAGACTCAAGCGAATTAAAGCACATTCATTCATTCATTCATAATCCCAAAGTTAATTTTATTTACTCAAAATCCTGTCCTTTATGCACATTTCTTCATTACTTTCCATAGGTTTCTCCTTGCTGTATCTCCGCGGTCTCAGCTATGCATGGTTCCGCCAATCAGGAGTGCCTTGATTGCTAACGCTTTTTGGCTCTTCAGCTAGTTGACTCCAGCACCGCGCAGCGGAAGAGTATTGACTCCTCTGTGTTTCCGTAGTCAGGAAAGCGAAGTAAAGCAGGAAGCGGAAAAGGAAGTATGGCTTCATGGATCTTATATTTCAACTTGTCGTTCGATTTCTAAGACATTTCATCCCGGGAAACCAAGACATGAGGACGTGCTGGGATTTGTAGTTTCCTTAAGCAGCAACAACCTCTTGATATATCAAAGGCGAAGCCACAGCTTGGAAAACATCACTCCGTGATGCTTTTCGGAGGCAGCCTGCTCTCCCTGGCTACGGCGGTATCCGAGAGCCGGGGACCCAACCGAGTGGTTCCGCCGGGGAAAGGGCGGATTCGCTATTGAACATGGACCGCCGCCCCGCATGATCGGAGACTTGGCCGGTTCGCTCCTTCTCGTTTCTCGTGGTCTGGCCGCTTCTCCGAGGGTACCTGGGTCCGATTGTTTCTTCTGGGGGCGTCATTTGTTCCTAGGTTGGGGTGGGTGGCGAATCGCTTCGTCCCATCAGTTTAGGGTCGAGAAGGTAAAAGCTGGATTCCGGGCGGGGGAGTAACTGCTCCACGGATCATCCCGTGTAATTCGCCTAGGTGGAAGACACACACATATCCCCATTTACACTTGGGACAAGCAGAGAACTGGGGAAACGGCCGGCAAATGCAATTTTGTCCCCCGCCTCCCCCGTATTGTTAAAATATTATTACAAATATAATTGCAGTTGAGGATGAAAATGAAAGGAAACGAGGGCCTTCCCTCCAAGATCCTAACGAGGAGGTGAATGGATTAAACGTCAGGAATAAATCCAGTACAAATTTATTTACAGCTGTGTTTTGGCGATGCCACAGAATATTAGTGCTCCTTAGTCACCGAAGCAGTAGGTCTGAGCTTAAATGGACTTATTTATTTATTTCCTCAAACATGTATTAGACAACGTATATAAGTATAAACATGATTTTNGCTTAGCCTACCTACCCTGCCCTGTACAACCAGTCTGGAATCCCTCCAGATGTTGTTTTAGATGAAACCTACAACAAAGCTAAACATTCCAAGTTTTATTTCTGACGAATTGTGGGCCAATCCAAAACAGTCTGATAAAACTTCCAGAATGCTGAGCGTAGAAAATACTATATTTCGTATTTTAAGCACACTTCTTTTATGACAGAGAGAGGGGGGAGATGGAGGAAGGGATGAGGAGAATGAAGGGAGGGGGGAGGGAAAGAGGGGGAGAGAATATCAAGCAGAGAAATAAAGGGGAACCACATTCCTTCAAAAACAACAGTAATGAGATCCGCAATTCCTTTTCCAATGAAATAGCTCTGAGAACTATCAAGTTTACCTCAATGTCATCTATATCGTTTTCATCTGAAAGATTGGGAATCTCCACATGACCTTTATATATTACACCTGTTTTTGAGGTACCTATAAAACAGAAATGTTTTAAATTAAAACCTTGATTCAATGTCATTTTCCCAACAAATTTTGACAAGTTTTGGCATTCTAGACATTGAAATATAAATGCTTCAATCCCATTTGTATTTCTTTGAAAACAGTTCAGAGAACTAGTAGATATCATCTACTATTCAACATTTGTCTTGTATAAAAATAAAATAGTAACTCACCTTTCCAAGACAATTTAATGTTCCATTCATAGAAGAAAATCAGTTTTCCTTTGCGATTGTTGATAGAGGCTTCCCCATCTAATTTGCTCACTTCTGTCACTTCACAAGTCCCCTCTGCATTCTCTACTCTAACAGCCAGAAAAAGTGTTTTCAACTTCTCTGATGACCAGTTAGATGCATCTCTTTCAGTCCTAAGAGGGGGAAAAAAGAAAAAGTGCAATAGCACACACTTTGCATTTATGCTCATATATAATAAAATCCTTCAAATAGGATTTGCTTAAACATGCGGTGTTGAGTATTGTGCACTGAATTGTACCAAGAGTTTGTAATTTGTTCACGTCTGCAAATTTTGCTATTGGTTCACTTACATTAGCTATCTTCCTCAACTTAATGTTGGGGCAGGAAAAATAGAAAAAACAGCTAACAACCTCAATGGTTCTACACATTTTCCTTGGGACTGAATTGGCAATTAGGTTCAAAAGATACAGGACCCCTTACTATTTCCTGTGATATAATTTTATTTAATATAATTGTCTCACTCTTTCTTCTTTTGAGGTATCCCACAGACTAATAACTACAATTCCCTCATTACCATATTTTTGGAGTGTAAGACGCACCGGAGTATAAGACGCACCAAGGTTTTTGAAGAGGCAAATTTTTTAAAAAAAGTTTTTGTACTCTGCAAACCTCCCAAAAACAGTCCATTTTTCGCAAAAACTGGCTCATTTTTTGTAAAAAAAAAAAAGGGGGTATGGATAGCCTTTAGGAAGCTTATAGAGTGCTCCTGGGGGCTAGGTAAAATTGAGCAAAAAACGGACCGTTTTTCGCTCATTTCTGCCCTCCCCAGCCCCCAGATGATATCTGAAAGCTTCCTAAAGGCTATGCACGGCCATTTGAAGGGGGCGGGGTTTCAGGAGGCAAAAAATGCTGTATTCAGTGTATATGACACACCCAGATTTTCAGCCTCTGTTTTTGAGGGAAAAAGGTGTGTCTTATACTCCAAAAAATACAGTATATACTAATAGTGCTCATGTTTCTAGTTATCCAAAGATGGACTATAGTCTGCATTTAATGTGCTAAGCCAACAGGACTGAAGATCCCCAGGGCAAGAAGCAAGCAGCATCTATAGCCATGCTTGCATGGAACCTATCTTGTTTTGATAACTATTGCTGTCTCTAAATAGTTTAACATAATAATCGCTTTACATTACAAAAAGCGTTTTACCCAAGTAATCTAATGCACGTCAACCCTTAAAAAATATTGCTCATTTTGTTTTTTGCCAATAAATGAATCTGCCAAATTATTCAAAATTCATTTTTCACTACATGTTGGAAGTGCTGCAAGTCACAATAAGAATTTTCCAAAAATTCTGTCTCATAGTACATTATGCTCAAAGATGTGGCTCTGTTCTATTAGTACGAACATTAAATAAACTGCAGAAACCTCTTCTGCAGTTTGTTTATTGCATGTTATGAACCAGGAAACCAATTCTATCTTCTCCAAACTAGAAGGAACTGAAAGACAAGCAATAGGATAGCTTTTGGCTCTTGCTTGCTAAGATGGGAAAAAGCCAGAACTCTTGGTTCGCATGTTATTATAGGTAAACTTTTTCATGATTTAGCCTTTCCCACTAAGTAAGAAGAGCTAAATGGGCCAAATTTGCATAGTCATTATTTTGATTACAATGATGTCAGCAGGTAAACACAAACTCTCACTTTGATTGGGTTAACTCATTGATTCATGGACACCTCCAATGTTGTTACCTTGGCAACAATGAGGAGTTTGCCAATGACTTTTTCTAGGGTTTAGTCTATACATGATATTTCCTTATGGTCTATCTTTCAGGTATAAATATGGCCTAGCTTTTTCCAAGATCAGTCAGGTTTTGTTTGGTGCATCTACCTCTTGTAAGAAAAGATCAAAATCTGAACTTCTGACATGAAAATCCATGTGCAAGGCTAACTGATTGTGAATAACTATTCTACATGTATAGAATTTGCAAGCATTTTTGTTTTCAGCAATAAAAGAATATCCTTCCTAAACCGGATCAAAATTAATCCAAGATTCGTATAATTCAATATTCTGTCTCCAAAAGTGGCTCTTGACAAAACTTACACAGTATGATGATAACAGTTGTTCTCTTTGTTACTGGAACCTGGCACATAGACTATAATTGTACAAAGAGGTGCTGCGTAGTTATGGAGATTGTCCAATCAACAATGGATTAATCTGCAATAAAATTAATTTGATTTGTATAATCCAGCAATTTCTGGTCACAGAATATTGTACTAGATGAATATAATCTAGGAAGGAAATTCTTTTCTTACAGAAAAATCCATAAACATCTTAAGGTAGATGTTTATGATAAAATACAATGTCTCTATCCCCTAATGAACTGGTCTTTTGCTTTTAGCATAAGCCGAATTCTTCATTTTCTACATTTTGTAATTAATTTCATATTAATGTGTCAAATGTTTTCCTTGTTCTCAAACTGCTTCCCTAAATAACAATTAAACTCATAAACTATAGAGAGGATGGTTTCTCTCCATCCATTTAATACCACCTTTCTGGCTAGTAAGTGAGCAAGTCTGTCAAAATACAGGTTGTCCTTGACTTATGAACTCAATTGAGCCCAAATTTCTGTTGCTAAGCGAAACATTCTTTAAGTGAGTTTTGCCCATTTTACAACCTTTCTTGCCACACTAGTTAAGTGAATCACTGTACTTGTTAAATTAGTAACACGGTTGTTGAGTGAATCTAGCTTGCCCACTGATTTTACTTGTCCAAACGTCACAAAAGTGGATCACATGATCATGGGGATGCTGTAACAGTCATAAGTGTGAAAATTGATCATGTCACTTTTTTCAGTACTGTTGTAATTTCGAGTGGTCACTCTACAAACGGTTGGAAATCAAACACTACCTGTAATAGCCTAAATGATTTTGAAAGGTCAGGCATAACAAAATACAGTATGACATGAAAATAAAACCCAGACAAGGCATGCTGCATACATTTGCAGAAACTTAAACTATTAAAACTTCTGCCACAACTTATCTTTGGCATTCCTGATCTTTCATGCTGTAAGCGAGTCCCGGAGACAGGAAAAACGGACCGAATGAACACTTGTATCTGTATACCCAATACAGTTGCTAACACAGACATATACTATACATGCACACAGCTAGTCCAGCTCTCGATTGATATAGCAGCTTGTTACCCCCGTTTCCCCGAAAATAAGACTCCCTGGATAATAAGCCCAATTGAGATTTTGAGCGCATGGACTAAAATAAGCCCTCCCTGAAAATATTGCAACACAGCAGCAGCCATGAGGTGACCACACTTGCTGTCTCTTGCACCTCAAAAATAATGAGACCTCCCCGAAAATAAGGGAAAGGGCTTATTTTTTGTGGGGGTGTCAAAAGAAAATAAGACCCGGTGTTATCTGAAACAGGACTTCTTTCTATGTCAGGAAAAACCTACCAGCTTCTGCAGGTAAATGATATTAAAAGAACTTCTGAGAAACTAGCCTATTTCTGTCTATGAAGATTCTCAGGCATCCAGGTCATGGCTGTCCCTAAAGATGCTTCTTTTCTGGAGGCCAACTGGACTTTTCTTGCTTTTTTATTCTTTGAAGATGTTTTGCTTCTCATCCTGGAAGCTTCTTCAGCTCTGACTGGATGATGGGGAATGGAAGGATTTATATTCCTTGCGGACAGCTGCTCATTTGCATCTTTTTTAGGGAGCCTTTGAGGCACTTAACCCCACCATCCAGTCAGAGCTGAAGAAGCTTCTTGAATAAGAAGCGAAACGTCTTCAAAGAAAGAAAAAGAGCAAGAAAAGTCCAGTTGGTCTCCTGAAAAAAAAAAGCACCTTTGGAGCTCAGCTTATTTCTGGTTTTGGAGAAGAGAAATGCTGTAATTCACAGCAGCAAAAGAACTAAAGATACCCCGGCCATGTGGGGTTTCCCTCCTTCCTGCCTTCCCTCCGCCCCGATTTCTCGCTTCTTTTTTTTGTGAACTGTCAAGCCCATGCAAATCGCGCCCGTCCTTGGGAAGACGTCCCCGCGGATCCCGGCCAAGGTTCCTGCGGAGAAAAACGCCAGGCAGAGAGACAGAGAGAGGAAGCCCAGGCGAAGGAACGTGGGGAGTTCAAGGCGGGGGCGGCGGCGGCGGCAGCTGCAGCAGCAGCCCCCGAGACTGAAAGCAGCCGCCCCTTTCGGGCTGCCCCGCAGCGTCCTCCTCTCCCCCTCTCTCTCACCCACCAGTGCCAGTTATTGACGTTGGTTGCATCGGCGCGCTGTTCCACGATCCAGCGCGGGTCCCCTTCTCCCCACTTGGCCATCGGCGCCCCGAAGAAGCAGCTCCCGCCACCGCCGCGTCCGCTCCCGTCCAAGCTGAGCGCTGCCGTCCTCTTCCTCGCTTCTCTGGAAGCTACTAGAAGCGCCGGCACCGCGCCGCCTCCCGACTTCCGTCACCGGCCGAGCTTCCTTCCGTCCCTCCTCCTCTCCGCTCCTCCTCTCCTCTCCTCGCCA